TGTATATTCACAACCTTTATTTTTTACTCAGAAAAATGTTGCCCAAAATATGCATTTTTACTGTAAATATTAGTGAAATGTGAGTTTGGGTAGGTGTTTCTTTGGGGGGTACCATATATATATATGTATATCCAATATGATATGTCCAGTTCTTGGGACACCATAGAGAAACCGAAGCAACATGTTGATATCCCTTCCAAGCTAAGAGTTTTGGGGTTCAGCGTTCAGCCAGTCACACGAGACTCTACAGCGCACCTTGCAGAATCCGGCATTGACGAAGGCATTTACAAATGAGGATGCCAGATTCTGCTTTGCAGAGTCCAAGACTGCTGTCGACCGCTTTTCCTGGCACAACTCCTCTCAATTTCAGTATATACCTTTCTAGTCTAGCCTAGTGAATATAGTTTGCTATTAGGTTGGAGGCCATCGTTATAATAAAGTCATAGAGTCCGCCTCGAGGTGAGACTTGTAGATTTGCTCTGGGAGTTTGGGCTCTAAGACGTCAAGCTCCTGTCGGCAACCACGGCAACCACTATTCCATGCAAAAAAACTTTGTCTGCACTGGTGTCACGATAGAGCTTTAACCACATCCTTTTGGCGAGGAAATGAGCCAACACACATGTCCTCTTTAAGCTCCTTTGAGTCCCCTTTGGTCTTTGGAAATCCTTTTGAATTCAACACGATTGTCTCGAGCTCTTTTGAAAGGTATGGGATGGCCCCCCAAAAGCCCGGTCAGAAGCTCACAACTGCCACCATGAGCCTTGGACCCCCCCCTGGTTAAATTGCCACCCAAGCAAGAAAAACAAAAGGAAGGAGCAACACGTTGTAATATAGCAAGACAAGGAGTCTTTTCTTTTGAGTTCCTTTCGAACTCTTTTGTGTTCCTTCATTCACTTAGAATTTTGAATTGTTATTCAGCCTTTCCTTTTGTTCTTTACACGTCTTTCTAGCTCCTTTTGACTTTGTTTGGGTCTTATTCAGAGGAAACACTTAACCTCAAACCAACTTGACTTTATTGATTTCAAGGTAGCCAGATTTTTTTGGGGTTGGGATATGTTGGGATAAAGGGACAAAATTGGAAAAAGACAGCAAACTCCTTGGCCAAGGAGATAAAGTGCTTTGAAAGGCTTTCACCTGAAGCGATTTCTTTCAGCTCATCATCCTCCGGCAGTGAGGAAAGGTGCAGTCTGATGCTTTGCTTACTTCCAATGGATGTAGGCATCTGCAGTCAAGATTCTACTGTAATCTACACGCAATGTACTTGCAAACTCTTGCCGAAATGATGTGGTTTCAAACCTGCCTCCTCAAAGTCATGGTTGAACTTTCGTCTCGAAATCCTAAGCCGTCAGAGGCACCGCTAAACTTAAAACAAGAATGTTCAGTGTCCAAAGTCAAGCTGCATGAAGGCCATCTGTTTCTGCACCAAGCGATCCTGAGCCATGTAGGACAATGTAGGACTCTGCTGAAAAAAATGCCCACACACACACACACACCTTTCGGTATGCATTACTTGCTCTTGAACAGCATCGACGGTGAAGTACTTTCCCTTTCTCACTCTCTGTGTCAGGTTGAACTAAGCAAAGCTCTTCGCATGCACTGAACACGTTGGCAACAAGCGTTGGGTCGTTGAGTTTCAGTGCTACTCTAAGCGCTCCAATGTACTCCTGAAGATAGGCGCAGCACAGCCAAAAGCTTGTCCATTTTACAGTAGAACTCAAATCCCTGGACATCCTTGTACTTGAGGTACAGGTTCATGCACACTTGAAGATACATGACTTTGTCTGCCTGACAAACCAAACAAATACAAGTTCAATTACTTTGGCAAAACTACATGTTGTCACCATCCTAGCCTGTGTCGCAGCAAAATTTGCAAGGCCTTGAAGGTACAAGCAAACCTCGTTGGACAGGCTCGATTGGGGAGCGCACACCAAGCACAAAGAAGTCACCATCCAAAGCAAAGAACTTGGGCACCAACGCGGCCAAAAGAGGGCTCTTCGCAAAGCTTCTCTATCCTGGCTCAATGTGCTAGCTGCTAGAGCACTGCATACTTCAGAAAAGCTAAAACAGTCAGAGTCGCAGGAGTGAAGCAAACCAAGATTTTGTCCCAGCTGTTGCACTCTCGTATTCAGTTTGCACAACATCTACAAATAGAAGATGCCCTTCTCACCAATGTCCGCCAAAGTTATGGCCCTTCTGGTCTGGCAGTTCATAACGGGCGAGGGATCAAATACAAATAAAAATGAATCAACACGTAAATATATTTCAGGGGATCAAGAAAAAAAACAAAAATGAATTTTAAAAAAGTAAACGCACCCAAGCGTGCAGAGGGAAGAGCAATATTCTATTGTGACGAGCGGGGGATCAACAAAAAAATGAATCAACAAATACATATATTTCAGTGTGTTCAAGAAACAACAAAAATAAACTGACCCAAACGTGCAGAGGGAAGAGCAATATTCCATTGTGACGGGCGGGGGATCAACAAAAACACAAAAGTGAATCAACAAATAAACATATTTCAGCGTGATCAAGAAAAAAAAATAAACGGACCCAAACGTGCAGAGGGAAGAGCAGTAGTCGATTCGAAGCAGTGATCAGAAGAAACAATCAAACAAACAGGAAAATCACATGAAAGGAAAATGAAAATGTCAGAAAGACGGAAGAAAGAATGAACGAGTCAATGAACGAATGAAATGCATGAAATGAAACCGCTCAACAATTAAAAGCGGGAGGGGGCGGGGGGGAGGGCGTAGCGTCTCCCCCGCAATGTAACTTGGCACGACCAAAAAACAAATATCACGGAGTTTCCCCAATGATAACTGCAATGGTCTCTGCGCTGGGCATCTGGGCAAAGTTTTGCAACATCGCATTTCAATTTCACTGCCTTCCTTCCTTCCTTCCTTCCTTCTTCCTTTCTTGCTTCTCCTTCCTTCCTTCCTTCCTTCCTTTGTTGCTTCCTATCTTGCTTTGTTCCTTCCTTCCTTCCTTTCTTCCTTTGCTCGGTTCTTTCTATGTTTTTTGTTGATGCATTTTCATGTTTATTTTAACGCATGTTTGTTATTGTTTGATGCATTTTTATTTTTAGTTTGATGCGTCTCCCGTTCATGACATGCTGTCTGCACTTTCTTCTCAAATGCCCTCATGCGCTAAAGGCCACTCCAATTAGAGGAGGTAAGGTCTACTGAAATCTGCATGGAAATCTGTATACATCAATGAATCAATGTATTACTAGAAACATAATGAAACATGTATATATATATACATTGTATATATACAATATGAATCTATATATTCCCGAACACCAAATGTACAGTGGCAGCTCCACCAAATGATTTGCCTATTCAACATTATTCGATCCTCTACCCCTGCTGGTTCACGTCACTGCGAGAAACACAAGCAAACTATCAGCTTGTCATGGTTTGTCGTGGGGGGCAGGCACCAGGGGTCATGAGTTGCTCACTGTGAATACTGATACTGAGCTGTGCTTGCTTTGTTGGCTTGTCGCGAAAGCTCGGGCATGAAAGCCTCCAATCTTGTTGGAGCGCTCCCCGCCCTCTCTCCCAATCTCTCTCGAGAGCATATCAGTATGATACAGTTCACAGTTGTTCCATCATGTTTCCACGTCCACTAGCTATTCCACCATGTTATCAGCTTGATTGGATCCTGAATGCCTGAACGCTAGCATTTGCAAGCAAAGCCTACTCAAGCTCAACAGCAAGGGCAGCATGTGTGTCCCTTCCCAAGAGTGGTAGGTCAGCTTCCCACAAGTTCAACAGCAGCGCATTTCTGGTTCTCTTGAATGTTACATGTGTTTTCATTCCTCCTCGGGCCGTGCTTTCCTATTTTGATGCAATTACAATGCCATTTTATTCGAGTCATTGTGTGTAGAATATGATGTAGGCTCTGCGCAACTCTCTGCACTCGTGGGTGCCTGGTGTTTGCTTATCTCTGGATAAAATGTAATTCTCTGCTCTCATGAGTGCAGGTCTGCAGAGTTCAATGGCATTCAGGGTTAGGAATTGTTTCTGTAGATCCTTGGGCATCCAGCAAGCCAACAAAGGGTCTCCTTGCATCTTCACACCTCCCTGCTTAGGCGGCTTGAATTTGGAAAAAGGAAGGTATCATATGTTTTAAACACAGACTGGCTGACGTCTGAACCTTTTCAACCTCGCACAAGAGGTCAATAGCATCCTTAGCAATAAATTTCTTCTTAGATCGCATGACTCCACAAAATCTAGACTGAGAAGTCAACAACCTCTGCATTGTGCTGCATGTTGAATGGCACTATCTCCTGGATGTGCGTAACAAATCGATAGTGTTTTTACACAAAAAAACATATTGATATTGTTCCACATTGTTCCATACACTCTGTGGACACGAGCCAAACTGCAAAGGTAGCCTCAACTAACGAAAGGAGGTCGCTCACATCTGTGCCCTTCTCAGTTCGTTCTTTGAACTCCTGCACTCGTCTGCACTCGTCTGCACTGCATAAAAGCGATGAACAACGAGCTGAACATACTCGTCTATGAAACATTCGGAGCTTGCTATCAAAAGCGATCCATTCTACTCTTGGGGTACCCGTCCTCGCCAGCTACACTGGTGGGTTTGACTCACTGCCAGCAAGCCAAAGTAAAAATAAGTCCTCACCAATCTCCCCAGCGATGTTGCGAATGTATTCATGACCTCGACACTTGTCAGGCAGCGTCAATTCGTTGTAAAAATGACAGGCAAACATTTCTGCTGTTAAACTTCCAGTACATTGTGGCTGACGATGATTTCTTTGTGTGAGTCAATTGGTGTCGGTAGTCTACCGTCACTCTTCTGAGATTGTAGCCCCAGCTTGTGAGCCCTTCTTTTGTGCCTTCCAATCTATATTTCAGAGCTTGTCGCGACCTTAGCACAATCAATACCGTGAAAACCGTCAGAGTAGACCGCTTGCCTAGTCGATCTGTGGCTGCTGCCCCTCCTTCTGCATTGTCGTAGAAAGAATGGACAGGACGTCAGCGAAAAAAACGCTTCAAGTCGCTTGCGGGCATCTGCAAGCAAACAGCGTTGCACTTGAAGTGTGTGGGGAAAACACATTGATATATTTTTGGGGTGGGAAAGGCAAGAAATAACAAAATCAAACAACTAGGTTCGGTGATGGACAGGAAACTACTATGGTTGGATGCAAAAGGGTCCTCCCAGAATTGCAGGCCCTGCCCCAGTCGGATCGACAACAATTTATAGAGCCGGGGGCCCCCCCCGGGGTGGACCAGTTCGAGTTCGAGTTCGGATCGACCCACAACAACAGCAACGAGAACCAACAGCAACGACAACAACCACAACCGCTATCGCCACGACCCACAACAAAGAAGAAGAACAGGAACCAACCAAGTTCAACCAAGCTAGCAACAAAGCAACCAACCTGTTGAGACTATCCGCGCTGCAAGTTTTTTTTAAATCTTTGCAGCCAACACTTGTTTTATTGGGATCTGGTGTGCTGCTGGGGGGGGGCTGCGCCCCCCCCCAACCTCCCCGCGCCACGAAATCTGCACTTCATCCAAAACCCGCGCCTGCCACGAAATCAGCATTTTAGTGTGAACTCCCTTCGGCAAAAAACCTGCTAACCAACCAACCAACCGACAGCCAGCTGCCAGCCAGCCAGCAGCAACCAACCAACTGACCACACTGCAACCCATGGTCACCCTGCCCCCGGTCACTGCTGGGGGGGTCATTAACCAACAGGAAGCAACCAACAGACGCCAAGACCAACAGCAACGACAACAACCACAACCGCAAGCGTCACGACCCACAACAAAGAAGAACATGAACCAACAAAGCTAGCAACAAAGCAACCAACCTGTTGCTTTGCAGCCAACGCTGGTTTTATTAGGATCTGGTGCGCTGCTGGGGGGGGGCGCTGCGCCCCCCCCAACCTCCCCGCGCCACGAAATCTGCACTTCATCTCCAAAACCCGCGCCTGCCACGAAATCAACATTTGAGTGTGAACTCCCTGCGGCAAAAAACCTGCTAACCAACCAACCAACCCAACCCAACCCAAACCAAACCAACCAACAGCCAGCCAGCCAGCCAGCCAGCCAGCAGCCACCAACCAACTGACCACAACGTAGCAAACTTTTGTGGGCCACCCGAGGGTAACATTTAGCGCAGGAAGGAGCCATTACAACGTAGCGTTCCTTCGACTTCGACTGCCATGCACTTCGACTGGGGAACCAGTGCGACTTCGACTTTAAGTCCGGTACGAAGATCAACTGCCATGCACTGGGGGAGAGGACCCACTTCGATTTGACACCCGGGGGGGGACCAGTTCGAGTTCGAGTTCGAATTCCAATCGACGACAATTTTGACACCCGGGGGGGGACCAGTTCGAGT